TCATGATTAGGCAAGGAATACTCTTAACTGATTCATATAGTTTGTTCCTTCATCTCTGAACAAAAGAAGGATGGGGTGCTTAAGGTAAAGGTGTGCACATCTCTTAACAAAAATTTGTTTCCCTGGGAGAATAGCATTGTAAATTTTATTTGACATTTTTTTAAAAGATTTATTTATTTATACAAGCACTGGGTACAGTCAGAAGTGCGGGAGGGTGAGAGAATTCACCAGAGCCAGAGCAGAGAGTAGAACAGGCAGACTGACGAAGTACACTGCTGAGGGGAGCAGTGGGCAGCGGAGAGGTCTGCTCGCCATGTGGGGATGGAACCAGCGCTGCAGAGGCTGCAGGCAGCTTCGCAGCCCAGCGCTCAACCACTGCGCCACCAGGGGAGGCCCTATATTTAACATTTATACCCCATAACTTCTTAAAATGGATTTAAGACGGTATGAAGAAATACTTGGAAATTTGTTCTCTGTTCAGTTTGTCTGAGTAAACACAATTACAGGCAAGGCTTAGACCAAAGAAAAGACTCAAAGACCTAGATTCACGTTTGTCCAGAACTAGAGTTTCCTAGCAGTTTAAATATTTGGAGTAAAAGTTTGTGAAGAATCCAAGGAAATTCTGAGTTTTTGTGCTTAGAATTTTGGTAAGTACCAGTGTTGCTTACTACATGAAGAAACTAGTTATAATAGAAACTTCTTTTCATGGGGAAAAATAATTCTGTCTTTCGGATGGTTCATTTGAGTTAAGAAAATTTAGAATTCTGGACCTGCAGAACTTGATTGTTCTTTGACTAGGTATGATACTGACTAAAGTAATCTAAACGTATTGCTCTATGAATGTTTGCTCTCACATCTCTGAATTTAGTTTTTAAATATTTGAAAATTATTGTTATATGTATTACCAAGACAGTAATGTAAAGAAGATGTTTGTCTTTATTTTTTGCAGGTTGCATTTTTCTAGTAATTATTATATCAGAATTTTCAGGCGTTTTTATATAGAACTTCACATGTATTCCTGCAACAATTACTTGTGATTGAAATATTATACCCCTATTTTAAAGATGTAAAATTAATGCCCAGTTTATTACTTACCTGGTCACATACCTATATAAAATGTAACTCAGTCTTATGATTTAAAATGTTGTCATTTTTGTGTGTATTTTTAATGCCATGATGTTACAGCTGGTTAAAAGCATGCTTTTTATCTTGTCAGGATATGGCTTTAGTTGCCCCTGAAGCTCCTTCAGAACAAGCCAGGAGAGTTTTTCAAACCTATGATCCAGAAGGTAAAAGATATTAACATTAGCTATGTTTTGTATCTTTATATATTTAAAATCATTGCCAAGAACAATATTGAGCTTGTTGTTTCAGTGTTTTCGAGTAGGAGTTTCATGTTACTGGGTCTTATTGTTTAAGTCTTTGATCCATTTTGAGTAACTTTGGTGTATGCTGTGAGCTAGAGGTCCAATTTCGTTTTTCTGCATGTGTTTCTCCAGTTTTTCAGCACTATTTATGGAAGACTGTCCTTCCCTTATTGGGTATTCTTGATTCCCTTTGTAGTATAGTTTGAAATTGAGGAGTGATTTTATTGTGTTGTTTTTTTCTTCTCCGGACTGCTTTGGTTACTCAGGCTATTTTGTGGTTCTACCCCAATTTTATTATTTCTTCTATTTCTACGAATAATGCTTGGATATTTTGATGGGGGCTATAATGAACTTTAAATAGCTTGACCATTTTTAACAGTTTTTTTAAAAAAGATTTATGCATAAAAGAGCTAGGCCAGAGGTGTGAGGGGTGAGAGGATTAACCAGAGAGAGAGTGGGGAGCAGAGCAGGCAGTTCTACTGAATTACACTGCTGAGGGGAACAGCAGGTGAGACAGGAGGTCTGCTGCTCCGTGTGGGTGAGTTCCCTGGCCAGGGATTGACCTTGTGCTGTAGCGGCTGCTGATAGCTTCATAGTACTGAGACTTATTAACCCCTTGTGCCACCAGGGAGGCCCCATTTTAATAATATTATTCAAATCCATGAATATGGGCTGTCTTTACATTTGTCTGTGTCTTTAATTTCTTTCCATAAGTCTTAGGTTTTAATATACAGATCCTTCACTTCTTTGCTTAAACTTACTCCCAAGTATTTTATTGTTTTTGATGGTATTGTAAAGTTTGGATAGGAATTTCATCAATTTCTGTTAGGTTGATTTTTCAAAGTTGTTCCTGATACTTTATTGAACTCACTGAATAATTCCAACAATTTTTTGATTGACTTTGAGATTTTCTATATGTAAGATCATATCAACAATAGCAACAATTTTATTTATCCCAATTTGGATTTCTCTTGTTTGCCTAACTGCTCTTGCTTAAAACTTGCAGACTGTAATGAATTGGAGTAGTGAAAGTGGGTAGTCTTGCCTTGTTCTAGATCAGGGAAAATAATTTTTTTTCTATTAAATATAATATTCATTGTGGGTTTGTCATGTATTACTATGTATGGTTTTGTCATCTTATTATTTTGAGGTATGTTTCTACTCCACTGAATTTTTTTGAGCATTTTTAAAATGTGAATATTGTTCTTTTGATGGCATCCCACAATTCAGTGGAGAATGACTTTGACCCCGAGGTGGCTGCAAGGGCACTGACTGGATGTAAAATCTTTAGTTCTTGAGAAGGTACGGTGGCATAGTCTCTTTACAACTCCATTGACTGAGGTTAACATTGGCCATACTGCAGAGGTCCTCTGTGTCAAGGCTGCTGATACCTTCCTGATCTTTCTTTGCTTGTAGAAGGAAGTTCTAGATGAGATGTTCCTTGGTGCCTGCTCTGGCATACTGGCACGCAGGCCCTCAGAGCAGTATCACAGTGGAGGTCCTAAGAGAGCACATGTGTCCTGGACACAGATACATTCGCTGTAACTGTGGCTCTAATGTCTAGAATATGGCCATGGCCTCACCGTAGTAACTTGGGATATTAAGGTGGAAATGCAGAAGCAGCACCAGTCCTATACTACAAGGTGCTGTGGTTACCTGGGTTCAGGGGCAGTGGGATGTCAGTTTCAACTGCAACCCTGTGTGCAGGTCAGTAGCTTCACAACCACAGTTAATGCCATTTGTTAGGACTTGAGGAGCAGGGCTCACAATTGGGTCAGAGTGGCAGTAACACAACACAGCAGTGGTACTCAATGCATGACCTGAGCCCAGGAGGCAGGGCACATAATAGTGACCTCTTGGGCTTGATATATAATGAGGTAATGTTCCCAGTCTTAGAGACTGGGGTAAGCAGAAGGTACTTGAGTCTCTGGGAGGAACTGTGAACAGCTGACAGCTGGGATCAGTATAAGTGAAGTCTGTGGAGATTTGTGTAACAGACTGCAAAAGTTCAGAGTAATGAGGTTGGCTGAGATTCTCCTCTTCTCCTTTATCCCATGACATGAATTTTCTCTGAGGGAATTCCCTCTGGAGCTAAGCTGCTCTTGACTGAGAAATGAAGTGATGCAAGCAATTTGTTCCTATGCTTTTCTAGGTCATCCTTAATTTTTGAGATCCTGACTTTTTTTTTTTTTTTTTTTTGGTAGTTCCTGCTTTGTAGTCCAGCTCTTTCTCTGAACTGTTTTCTTCAGTTTGTTTTTTTGGTGGGAGAGATGAGTGCTGACGACTTCTAGCTCCATGTTGTTGATGTGACTGCCCCGAAGTATTTCTATATAAATTGCTTGTGGCAGGAAAAAGATGTAGAAAAGTAAATTGACTTTTATTCTCTTGTGAGCCTGTGCTTAACTGTTGTACCCAACATAGTTTTGAAAAGCCCACGTTTATATCACTGTTAGCTAGGTTTTGTTCATTTTTGTATTCACATACTTAGCTGTTAGACTCTATAGCCATTACTGTTCACCCAAGTCATCGGCTTTCCTAGTATAGCTTTAAAACCAGCTCATGCCTTATGTTCCATTATAAATTATTAGGCGAAGCCTACTTGAAAGTGATGCTTCAGTGAAGCCCCTGTGAATTCCTAGAGGGATTTAGTTATCTTTAAAAATACATTTTCTTCTATCTTCAAACTTGTTAAACTTAGGCATCTCTTTTAATTTCTGAAAATATTAGTCATTATGAAGATTAATGTTGTGAAATGCACCTTACCCATTGCTTACCATGTAGTAGGATATTTTATAAATGTGAGTTCCTTTCTCTCCATCCCTCTAGTTACTTAGTGCTCATATTGGTGAGTTGACTTTCTTCCGCTATGCCTTTTTCCTAACTTAAAATTTGCATATAACATTTCTAAATCTTTAGATTGGAAATAAGAGATTTACCTCTTCTCCTTTTCTCACCACTGAATGAAATTAGCTTTCTAGTCAGTCAACAATTTTAACTTGAATCTTTGCTGAGTGTAGCACTTTGAACTATGTCATGGGCAGTCTTACCACTTTGAATCCTTTCATGGACAAGACAGGGAATAAGCCATTTCTATTCCTTTTTTAAATGAGAATATCATGAAGACTGGAAAAGGGAAATCACATTGACAATTGGAAGTGAAGAGAAATTGATTTATCTGTGAACACAGATAGGAGGTACCATTTTATATGCAAGAAATAGCCAGGAAAGTGTTTGTCTTGTGGTGAAGTTAGATAATGAGTTCAGCAATTTCCTGTGTCATAATGTCTTAAGGATTTAAGGTATGAGGTTTCCCCCCCGCCCTTTGCTCTAACCCTCATTTAGATCTTCCCTTTATTATACTTCATATTCCAGTCTAGATTGCTGCTTCATGGCCATGCACATATGTACATAAATGCCTGCTCATTTCAGGATATGTTTAGGGACATGTTTCTACCATATTAAAACTAATTGCAGTATGAGAGAGAAAATCCCTCCAGAATGGAATACATAAGATGAGGTGTGTACTGCTGTTTTTAAAAATGACTACCCAAGATATGAGTAGTGGTCTAATTATTAGGCAAATTCCTAAACTCAGTTTTCTGTGCGAGAACTACTTTACATGAGTTGGCAATTTATTGTGTAGTGGTTTATTAGAACAAAATCCAGACGGTCTTCTCTCCCTCCTCTTGTATTTTCCCTTTGTCTCTTACCTCACTATCTTCCTCCCTCTTTCTGTCTCTCCTCTCTCCTGGCCTGTGTCACTAGCGCTCTGTCTCTCTCTCTCTCTCTGTTACGCACTCATCTCTGTCACTCTTCTTCCTTCTGTCTGTATCTGACAGATACAGAGACAGTGAGAAACATTCTGTTTCTTTCCTCGTGCGTCTTCCGGACGCACTCTGTCATGATCTCGCTCATCTGTGTTTCGCTGAGTCACTGTCTCCCTTTCCCAGAATCTGTCTCTTTTCGTCTCTCCCTCTGTCAAAAAAAAAAAAAATTTTTTTTAGGAAAGAAAAAATTCCAAAATTGTGTGGCATATTGTGAGTTCATTCATAAACAAAAACAAAACTATATAGATGGCATTTGAAATGATAGTCTCATGTTTTTCACATAATGTGGTGTTTTGGCTTCATTTAAGGAAGCAGTTGTATTTGGCTAATGTGTAACTATCTTTATTTAAAATGAGCACTTTAAATACTAATATTTTAAGTCGCTGAAATATATTGGCTTTTTTCTGAATGGTTTCAGCATGTTGTATTTTAAGAAAAACTACCATTATAGATTGTTTAATGTACAGCCCTTTAAGACATTCTATACCAGCTGCCTTTTGTCTTTTCTGTTCCTTTTAAATGATGACATTTGCTTCTTACCTTTGTTCTTCTTCACCTTGCCCTGGCCACTTGTTCTGCAATCATATTGTTACTGTTCTGCGAGTTTCCCATCACATCAGTGGAGTGATTTTGCAGGACAAGCTCATTTCTTTATGAGCTTCATGCATACAATTTACAAAACTTGTTGCTTGAAGGATGGTACCTGGACAGAGTACTTTCTTTAAATTTGAAATTAGGATTAGCTTGAATAATTAAACGAAACAAGCATTATTGAGCACTTGCTTGTATCAAACACAGCTTTAGGTTTATGAAACCCCTGCTGCAGTCATCTACTGGGGATGAGCAGTGATAAAACACTAAGGAAAGCTGAGCTGTCAGCATGTCTTCACCTGTGGCACAAGCCATTCTTTCTGTTGTAATTATGTATTGTTGAAGTTGAAATAGGTTGTTCTGTGAAATACAAAATAACATCATAAAAATTGTGATGATTTTACTGAAACAAAGGTCCTCCTCAACTAGACCTCTGTGTTCTTTCTAGTCCCACAAAACTATTGTCTCGCCTGCAGTGGTTTGAAAATGTTAGTCCCAAGTGTTTGCTGCCCATCCCTGTGTCTCCGCAGAAGCTGCCTCCAGCTCAAATGCAGGAGGTCCCATCTTGCCTTGTGGATTTTGAGTGGCTGCCATTTGCTTTCTTCCCACAGCACTCAATCTAGCTTGTGCTAAAAAGAGACCTGTCAGACTCTTCCTTAATTCGTAGTTAGAATTGGTACATCTTTCTCTTTAAAATCCAACTCTTATTTCTTCACAGTTATGAAATGGTGGTTATATCCAGGAAATAACTTACTTGCCAGCTTTTGTTCTCCATCAATTGTCTTTTGCTCTGAGTTACTCCTAGCCTCTGGGAGCTTGGCACACTTTATAGTCTGTTTGCTGGCCAAAAAAAGCAAACAAAATACTTTGTTTAGCTGTTTGCCATCACAAGTGCTGGGCCCTCACTTGTCCTCCATGCCTCATATTCCCTACTTTTCCAGCCTCTAGAAGTCTGATTTTGTATTCACATTTACACATGCCTTCAAGTTCTTTTTCTTTAAGTGCTTGACTAGTAAATTGTACTCAGATTTCCATTACTGTTGCTATTGAGATCTTATCACATGATGTCTCTATTTCCATATTCTCTAAGGAATTGGTCTTCTCTCTAGTAGAATACATACTAGATGACTACATACTAGATGATCTAGGCTTCATCTGTTTTTAGCTTAATGATTCTGTTCTTTTTCTATAATATTTGTCCTAATAAATATGACTGATTAAAAAATAAGGTAACATCAAAATAAGTGTTTTTAAAAGATTGCCAATTCTAATCTTGGATATATTAAAAAATTTTGCGGTGCTGAGGTACATTACAATTTTTAGGTTTGAAATACTGTATGTACAAAATGTAGATTCACTTATTTAGTATAATTGTTAAGAATGCATTTATACATTATAGAATATATTTACAAATTAAAAATGCGTTGAAATGTTTAAGCTTGAGGTTAAACATATGATTTAAGAAGTCTACTGTGTTCATTGTTGTTATGTCTTTATGTAACCAGTTAACTTTCTGGGGGCGGGAGCTGAGTTCTGGGGTTCTGATAAGGGAGGTAAGGCTGCCTGCCTTACAAAATGTATGTTACTCAGTGTTGCTGAGAAACATTTAGTGCTCCAAAAGAACAGGTCACTTTTGTCAAATAGATGTGCAGAAACCTATCCAGATAATTTTAACTGTTCCATAAAAGCTTGCTTTATGTTTAGAAATGCTGGGGTTTTAACTGTGACTTAACTGAGAAAAATATTTTTCCCAGTGTTCTAACTCATCAAAGCAAGGTTTATAAAATTTAGCTTATTTCACAGGTATCAACTTCTTTATTCCCTAAACCTTAAATTATTGGTAACTGACAAATTGAAATGACTTTCAACCTTCACTTAAAAATTGCACAGTTTCAGTTACTCCTCATGATTCTTAGCCTTTTAGTCAAGACCAATCTCTTTACCATGGGTAAGTCTGTGCTTATGAGGTGTAAGAAAAGACCTTTTTATAAACTCACAATTTATTTCCTTCTTGATACAGTGAACATAGCACAGACTGAAAGAACAACTACAGGTTTTTTCCTGTAGTTTGATTATAGAAGTAGTGCTTTTGGACATCTTGTTCTTCAAAAACAAGATCTTTATTTATTACCTAATCCCAAAATTGACATAAAGCTGAGAGTCTTCAGTAATGAGTAAATGACTAGAGAAGCTCTGGCACTGTACATTTTAAAAATAAACTTACTTGTTTAAGACTACTGTGATTTTAGACTGTCCTCCAAGCTTGTTTTGGTGTCATGTTGTATTGCATCAGAGTTTTGTACCACTTACCAGTGCTGTTTCCTCATCAAAGAAAAGAAGTATTTTCCATAAGCTAGTCTTCAGCAAAATTTAATTCTACTCTGCATTTTAATTTGAATTTTTTTCCTATTAGAAGTATGACTTATTTTCAGACCACCAAGCTGTTGTATCTTTTCTTGGTCTTATATTTATAATATCACTTATCTAACAGTGGGTCATTAATATATTAGTAACATTCTTTCAGAAAGTTAAATACCATGTGCCTAAGGAATTGGTTAATAAAGGGTTATTTTAATTGGATTTCTTAAAGGGAATTTAAATGTTCATATTGTTTATTGAAAGTTATATCTGATTACTAACTGTTAACAACTTTCAATAATACAATTTTTTCCCTACTTAAATTTGTAAAACTGCTTTAGAAGTAATTTAGTTTTAAGGAATTTTTTTTTTTTTTTTTTTTTTTGCAGTTCTCAGGTAGAAAGTACATGGTTAACTTTAGTAGAAACCTTGAAAATAAATCTTTGTCTATGTGCCCAAGAAATGTAACATGTAAGCCAGTGCCTAAGATAAATCTAATATACTCGTCTTCCTTAACTTTGTGTCCCTTTTGTGATTTTTCCACTAGAATCTTAACAGTAATAACATGTCTTCTAGTAAACTCTTAATTCCAAATTGTTTCTACTACTTTTCTACAGATAATGGATTCATACCTGATTCACTTCTAGAAGATGTAATGAAAGCACTGGACCTTGTTTCAGATCCTGAATAGTAAGCAAAATAAGATAGGAAGTGTTAAAGAACTCAAAGTATTCTGTTTAATTTAAAACAATTTATGTACAGTTTTGCCTTTGTTTTTATCTAAATTTGCATTTATAAAACATAGCACCTTATATAAAGCAAAGATTTAAGAAGAAATGACATTAATCACTACTATAGTGGAGACTTGACAAACTTAAAATAAGCTTCCTTTCTCACTCTACAATTACTTTCCTGCTTTTTCCATAAATTGAAAATCTTTTTCACTAAGTAGCTTCAGTGAAAGTAGTGACTTATCTATATAATGATATTTACTAGTTATCCTACTTAAATAACCAGTAGGCCTCTGACTTTTAGGACATTTGACCAAAGACAATGAACATTTCTAAATGACTAGTTTTTCATTATTGCCTAAGTATGTGTCATGGTCTTCATTCTCACTCTTAAGTTAGTACATATTAAATCTACAACTTTTTCCATAAATGTAACTATTTTTCAGTTTTTTCCCCATACATTTTCCTTTTGAAAGTTGATCTGACAATGAACAAATGTTTGTTCATAAAACATTTAAGGAAAGGATTCAGCAAAGCATACTCTTAAACACAGTTTTTCAAACTTGATCCTATTTTGTTTTTTGAATAGTTCAGGTGTATTTTCAGAATGTTTACATACATATAAACATGTGCAAACTGTTCACATGTGAATTAGTTTTTTTGTCTCACTATCCACACTGTGATGTTACCCATTTGTAACAGAAATAATAGTTTCCAACTTAAAGGGAGAAAATTAGAACTGAGCTAGTCCAATAAACAGTATGATAGTAATTACCTTATTTCTTCTCTATTAATTTCCAAGTGGAGACCATCTCGTTTGCATTACTCTGACTTGATTGAATTCAGGTAATTTTGGCTATGGAAGATTAACAGGAAGAAGGGAAGAGTTAATTTTTTCCCAAATTCTTACAGACTTGCCTGCACATATCTACTTAATTTTCCTTGTTCTACCAGAATACACACTGTATCTTGAAATTGTAAAGTTACAGTTAGATCGTTTTTCGAGAAGTAGCTGAAAGATTGGACTGAGTTATTCACTCTGTACTTTGGTCTAGTAACATTTTCAATATGTGATTGCCCATAAACTAACAAGACCAAATTAAGCATGAATAAATTAAATAACTGTAATATTACCTTACCTTTGTTTCATGTCACAACGGCCTACTCTTACTCAAACCCATTAAAATGTCATATCCTTTGCATATTATGTAATATAGTATAGTTAACTTGGCATTTACAGTTTGGAGATAGTATGCAGAATAAATATTTTCTGTAAGAGCTTTTCACTTATGAGACTCTTCAAATTGCAGCCTACTTTTCTCTGCCTTTTTTCTAATCACACATAAATAGCACTTTACCACCCCTGGTTACATCTAAATTGTTAGAGTTCTGCAAAGCACTGTTCACTAGGCTGCCACTGGAGCAATAAAGTGCCCATACACCTTACTTCCTACCATTCATTACACTTTAGTGAATTAGCTAGTCCAGAGAACTGTCTTACATCTTTAACCTTCCTGTTATACTGCCTAAGAATTTTAAGCCTCCACACTTCATTTGATTCTTGACAGTTAGCTTTTTAGATGTTTTCATTTCATGTACCACTGCTTTTTGATGCTGTTTCTTTTTCTCCTTAGGCCTTAAAATAAACTTAAGTGCCTCACTTGATTGTTAAATCCAGGCATTCAGAATCCACCATTGGAATATTATCAGACTGCATTAGAAGCCTAGTTTTTAAGTTACTTTACCTAATAAGGAACAATATTTCAAAGTCATCATCATAATTTAAATTCTAAATAGTAACAGATTACTGTGGTTTAAAAATAACCAAGTTTTGGCAAATTGGATGTCATTCCTGGGTATGTGTCATTAAGAGTCTAAAAAGAACAGCTCTTAGGGTTTTGGCAGTCAAATGTGTTATAGTACCAGTAATTTAATCATAAGAAAAGTAAGCTTTTTTCCCCATCTGTATCCACTGTTTCTTTTTTTCCTTCTCCATAGCATAAATCTCATGAAGAATAAATTAGATCCAGAAGGATTAGGAATCATATTATTGGGTCCATTTCTTCAAGAATTTTTTCCTGATCAGGTAACGTAACTAAAGACCAATCAAAAAAAAAAAGTATTTATTTTGTATTATTGGAATGTAATTGTTCTAGCATCTTTCATATAAAATGTTCTAACATGCAGACTAAGAAAGTACTATTTTGTAAATACTTTCCCATACACAGAGGATAGAACATGTGTTCAGACATTGTAATGCAGAACTTTGAGAGGTGATAGTGCACACACTACTAAGTACATGTAGCGATACTGCTATTTTAAAGGAAGATAAAATTCAGAAGGATGTGGAGTATAAAGAAAAAATTCTCTAGTCCCATCCCTGTTTTCCTTCTACAGGTAACTATTATGAATGGATTTAAATTATCTTTTTAAAGCTTTCTAAATACTAAGAAGGAAGGTGAAGGAGCCTCTACAGAATGAGCACTCCTACTAGTAAACCCCAGGTTCCAGAGAATTTTCATTGGGTGGAGCTGTGCTGTTTCATATTGGGACACCTCTTCCATTGGGCTCAAAGACCTCAGTTAGCACACATGTATACTGACGTTAAGTACTTTTCAGACATAGCTGTGTCGTTGGCAAACCGTTTCTACAGCCTATATGCCAGCCTTTTCTTCTGTTTCCTATTTACAGTGAAGGATTTTAGCACTAAAACAAATTATTTTTTTAAAAATGCCATTCCTATTCCAC